TGTGAGTTCATGGCCCCTTGGGCAGATGATCGGGTGTAAGGATGGGGATCTATTCATAATATAGTGAAAATGCATTAATTCTTCTGCATCTTGGGTTGAGCTGATCTTGGGCTTTGTAAGTACACAAAGTGCACTAGTTATGATGAGTAAGGGTGCTTCCTTTTTAAACTTATAGTCCCTGGGTCAGGGGTTCCGTTGTTTATGTTTTCGGGGAGGGGGGGGGGGTTCTATTGATGATATAGTAAAATTGTGTAAATTCTTTGAAAATCTTCAACTAGGTGCATACTTATGATAATGAGGGTACTTCTTCCAACTTTTTGAATTTCATGACCCTGGATCACGGATTCTGGTGTTAGGGTAGGGCTGTGTTGAATCTGTAGTGAAAATGCATTATTTCTTTGAAAAGTTTCTCTGCTCCTGGGTATTCGGAGACAAACTGTAAAAGTTTTAATAAGCAATGGTATTTTTACAAGACTTTTGAACATCTGGACCATTTGGTCAAGTGTTTTGGTCCTAGCCAAGGCTCTATTAGTTTGTAATCTACTGAAAAAAAATAGTTCCCTTTGCCATTCACTTTTCATAATTAATCACTGTAAATAATGTATTTGAAAGATTAATAGAATAAGCTAGTGAATTATGAAAAGATTTTTATTGTTTAACACAGAAAGTGCTTTTTACTTTTAATGATCAGATAGACTTGTAAATAATTGATAAATAAAATAAAAATGAGACAAAAAAAACTTATTCATTGTTTTCAGTGACCAAGAGAGGTCAAAGTGAGAGGTCATGAAATGGGGTTAAAAATAGTACAGAAGCACTAATAGTTTGTTAATATTCTGCATGGTGATAGTGATAAATTAGGGAAGATTAGAACTGAATTTATTAGGTGTTACTGAATACTAGAGTAATTATTTCATTGACCCTGATTATCCTTTTTCTCTTTGATTTTGGGCAACAAAGCTTCATCTATCAGTTTTTTGTATGATCTATGGATCCTGTAAATTGTTGTGTCATACTCAGGTGACCGTTAAGGCACCTGGGCCTCTTGTTTCTTTATATGATAAATGAAAGGAAAACAACCTCTAAATTCAATTGTATGTTATCGTAGATCAATGATTCACAAGATTTCTTATTTTTATTATTACACAGTCTCATTTTTCTTGGCCAATAAACACATACGAATATACAAAAACATCTTCGATAAACAGGACAGGGAAATTCCCTGAATAAAACTATCCACTAGTTTTCCCTCATAAACTGGCTAAAATCAATATCAAAGATTTCAATGACATTCATTAACTTATTTCTAAATGTACATAAGCAATAACCAACATATTGGTAAATTCCACACCCATGATCAAGCACATTGTACTATTAATAATAAGTGGAGATTAAATCAAACCTTTTGCTATATATTATCAATGTTTAATTTAAGAATGGCTTTGTTATAATCATATATTTTATGTACTCTTAAATATGTATAATGGAAAGCCTTTCAATGTATCTAAAACATGTTATAAAATATGCACTTTCCAATTCAGTTCCTCTTTCAAGACTTTGGGTGTTATATTCGGATCTTTTAGTTAGGAAGGTCAATTCAATTTATATAAATGACTTTCTTCACCTTTTTTCGTATAGGAAAGGTTTGTCACTAACAAAGGAAGCGTAGGTATTCTTTTCAAATAGAATATCCTGAAAATAAATCAAAGATATTTGAAGCTCGATTTATTTGCGGTTATCTTTTTAATTTGTTAATCAAAAATTAGTAACTAGGGAATCGATACGAACGTCACGATACAAATGAACTCATTACCACAAGTTTTAAATAAATTGTCATCAATAGATTGATTTTTATTTTTTAAATTGATGTCTTTCTTTCAATTTTTTTCTCTTATCACATTGAAGCGTTTAATATCAGAACAACAAGGGATTTCCTTCAGAAAAACGGGATTATTTCAAAATTAAATTTTAAATAGGTAAGTTTACATGAAATATAAATTAATGGAAGATCATTTATATATATATATATATATATATATATATATATATATATATATATATATATATATATATATATATATATATATATATACGTTAAAATGGTTTTTGCAAGAAAGTGTATGGTCAACTAAAGTGGACTTATAAATGACAGACAAAAAAAATACCATAACTATGTAAAACATGCGATAAAAAGACTCTCTCACGGTATATTGTTGGATACGATTTTTATCCAGCTTTTCATTTGTGTAAATTGTTTTTGTTCCTTTGCCAAGGTTCAAGGATATTCATTGATTTTGATAAAAATAATATCCAACCATATCCTAAATATTTCATCTAAAATTAATTTGTGGTTTTACAGTTTCCAAATAATAGCTCAACAGACATAGTAATACAAATCTTATTAACATAGCATATATTCGAAAGCTTGTGAATTTTTCCTCCTTGGAATGAAGAGTCTCTTTACGAATAACTTCCATCGTTTGCTGTATGCATATGAATTTTCTCTGCGAAGCGATTAGTAAAATTTTATTTAGCTATAATTTACTATAGTACATTTTAAATACTTTAATTACCTTTGAAATGATAATTACTTAAACATGCACTACTATGATTTACTTTGGATTTTTACTATTGATTTTCTTTATTACAACTGACTCACCAAATTCCAATCATTGATTATGAAATTTTCGAACAAAAGTTATAATATTTTAAACTGTCATGATAGCTCAGTCTGTAGAGCGCTCGTTTCCGTGATCGGAAGGTCTTGTGTTCGAATCACGGCCGCGACTGACCTAAGTCGATAAAAAATAGGTAGAAACTGTTCCTTCCCCAAGCGCTATGCACCTTGAAGTAAAAGTTGCGGGTCTTTCGTTTGAGACTTTAAAAAGCCGGGCTCCGCGTCACGGCAGTCGTTGGCACGAAAAAGATCCTTCACTGCTCAATGGCCCTGAATGCCGAGTAAAGGTCTAATTTGAAGTCGTTCACCGATACATGGTGGCGTCTCTATATGAGTGGAAAATTCTCAAACGAGACTGATAAACGTCATACAATCAACCATCTAATATTTCAATTCAGAAATAAGATAACTTTATCCAATATGAAAATCACCCTATTAGACTTTTGAATGAAAATGACACAAACTTTCAAATTTTAAGTGTTGGTGGCCATGGCTGCATTTATAACTGTAAGTTCAAATGTCCGTTAAGAATTTAATTTGAAGGTCCAATTGAGTACAACTGGTAGGATGATAATCTGGAAGTAGACTATGCAGCAGCTATGTAGTCTGAGACAGCAGTAGAGCCCCCCCCCCCCCCCACCCACCCATCTCCATTTAAGACACCAGATTAACTAAAATAGTTGAACAGTAGATAAGAAGTAACTTTATTTTGGACCCTTATATTATCGAAAATCTAATTAATTGCTACAGTAATTGTATGTAGGGCCTATGAATGGGACGTAAAACAATAAACAATCAATCAATCCACGTGTTGAATAACGACAATGCGCAAAATTGAAGAGAAGTCGTGACGACTTCATTCACACAAACGTCCATAAATGAAAGCTAAGGGTGGCTAATATCTTGGAAAATCCCAGCTAATAATGCATGAAAGTTTTTTAATTACTATCTAGCTGTTAATTTCAAAAAAAAAATGTTGCTACCATCTTTAATTTAAATTAAACAATATTTTATTATGATTAAACATAACTGGATTGGACAGCAGGCACTGCCTATATAAGTCCTCTCCACAATCTCAAGTCCGAGGCTAATGCTACCATCTTTCATACTAATTGTATGGCAATTTTTTATTCGAAATCAACTAGTACCGTACGGATTTCTCTATTTCTCGATCAAAAAAAGAGCAGACACTGGGTGTAACCGGTCGACAAGGGATGTATATTCCTCCAATGAACATAATCCGACCTGTGATGTTTTCAGAGGTCTGTGTTTGCCCTGTTTACAATTTAAATTGTTTCCTCGGACTTGTGAGCATGAGTACTGATTATTATCTTAATATTTCATAGCAGTCATTCCTAACATGACGACGAATAATTTGCTTTATGTCAAACAATCGGGAAGAACGTTTGCTCTATAGCAAATCTTTCCCTGGGAATTTTTGTAAGGTATAACCTTTGCTATAGAACATCGGTGATAGCCGATTTACAATAGGATAAGGGGAAGGCATCCGTTTGCTGTCCAAAAAAATATTTACTGAGATTTATCCCTAAATAATGAAAGAAAGGCCACATATTTATCAACTTATCAACTACTTATCAACCACAAACGTTCAAAATGTCCTCAAAAATCTGTACATCCTTGAATACATGAATAGATGCGATGTAAACAATGTACAATGTTAAATATCTTTTCTGTATGTATTTTTCTACTAAATATGTATTTGTTTTCGATAAATACACTTTCATTACTTATGTATAATTAATAAACAACAAATTAAAGTGACCACTATTTGTATATTGAATATCCGGAACTAGGCTATAAAGCAGCTGCATAGCCTGCACCACCGGTAGAGGTAACCACTTATACCCATAGAAGACACCAAATAAATGACATAATGGCAATGTATATAAAAAAGGAACTATTGCAAACCTTAGAATGCTGAAATATCTCATTCATTTTGCTATATGGTGGTATTTTCCACTCGTTAAATTGATAAATGACGAGAATAATGGGGAAGTTTGCAGGTACATGTAAGTCGTGACGACTGCATTCACACAAATACCCACAAATGAAAGCTTAATATACGTTTGAATATCGATGTACGAAAATTTACAAAAATATTAAGCAAAGCAAAAGTTAAAGAAATATATTTTTGTACCACTGGTTGTTACATTAACCTTATTCTTTGCAATAAGTAAAGCAATATAAGTAAAGCGAAATTTCTTCAAAACTTTTCATTGTACATGATTATATTTCTGATTTATGTAATTGGATTAATATACAATTTATTTTGACATAATTTTCGAGATTCCGCTACATGAGATACTCAAGTGTTCAGATCTCATTTTTCTTGCACTATGTGCCATTTGTTGTTCAGTTCTTAGACGCAGAAAGTTTTTTTTTTTAATTTGCATTTCATCACATGTACTTGATCTCCAAAGGAACATTTGCTGCCTGAACATCTGCTTCCAAAGCTTCACTCTGGGCGACCTTAAGCCAATTTTTCCAATCTCCCGCTTCACCTGAAACCAGAGGATTTATATTTTACAGGTAAGAAAAATGCATACACAAAACAAGAAATTGCAATCTTTTGGTGCTGTTCAGCAAACTGGATATTTTTATAGAGATAAAAAAATACGGATATTGCATCCTTACTGTATTAAGAATATTTTAAAGAAACATTTTACAACCCCCCCTTCTCTCTCTCTCTCTCTCTCTCATGAAATCCAGTTCTATACCACCCTGATACTTGTAGCAGCCTTGATAAAACAGGTACCGGTATCAAAATATAACTTAAAATACTGGGATGCCTTGCTTAGTATATAAAACATGTATTTATTATAAAAGGAGCAGAGAGTTTAATACCTTTTCTGTAGAGAACATGGCTATCCTGTACATCTGTTAGCTTCTTCATGTAATCTGGGACATGATTGTTCTTAAACTTGGACATTGTCTGGAATTCGCATTTTTTGGAGATTTCATCTATCAACCCTTCACTCGAATCCAGTTGCAAAAATGTTGAAATCTTCTTAACGTGACCTTTTAAATCCTAAAATGTATGTACTTAAATTCAAGCCAAAGAAGATATTTAAAAACAAATTAAAAATCGATTACCTCGGGAAATCAATGTATTTAATAAGACAATCGCAATAATCCTTAGAGAATGTTTTTGCATGGGAAAGGCTTTTTAACACAAAAGAAATATAATATTAACAAGTGAAGTTTACATTTCTTCTTATATCCAACGATACCATTCACTAATTTACTAGATAAACTATTATAAATGTAAAAATAAGAAATATATGTTACCTTTTTCATATCTTCATAGCAGATGTTTAGAAATGGGTATGATGGATTTTCTTCAGTGAAATCTGTCCATTCTTTCATGTACTTTGACCAGGTACCCCCAGGAACTGGTTTAATGAAATGTCATTTAATTTGAGTATAAATATACTTGTTTGTATTTTATGATCCGCACCTGATCAGACCTCTGATGTTTTGGAGGTCCGTATTTGGTTTGCTCCTATTTTGTATTGTTTAATGGACTTTTGAGCTTGAATATTGTTCGTTATCTCCATATATTTCATACAAATTTTCAGGGAGGAGATATGAATAAATCTATGAACAATCTTATGACGATATAGAAAGTTTATCTGTTGATATTTTTTGTATAAGATAATTGTTTTAGAAGTTAAACAAAATAGACACTGCTGTTAATCATAAAAAAGTCAGAGTCTATTGAAATGTAAAAAAGTAATAAATAGATGTTTCCATATGCAGCATTAAATAAATATATTCTTACGCTGGCCATTCATAAACATTCCAAAGAAAACATCGAACTGCATATCTTTCATAAGATCCCCAGCTTTTGTTTTCTTGATGAAGTTGAACAGTGAAACGACGACGTCTTTTGGATTTCTGTAGATATTGATAATTTTACATTGCTTTTTGATGAAATCTTTTGGCATATGTCTTGGCACTAAGTGAGACACATAGACACCGTTGGGCACCTGCTTAAGTTTTTCGACAGGAAACATTCCAAAAAGAGGAGGCACAACTGTCTGAAACTCGGACGTATTGTTGCGCAGCATGGACACTATCTCATAACACCAGTGTGTTCCTGTATAAATAAAAAAAACCCTTAAGTATGATCAAAGGAATATATTTTGTAATGACCAATATCTGCCCTCAAATCAAACTTTGACATTCTATATAATTTTCTCCTGAACTAGGGGGAATATCTGCATAGTTCAGTGCATTACCTATTTGCACCATGACGCCCCATGTTAAATATAACTTCAAGAAGATGACCATGTTTCAAAATTTCAATGATTTTGAAAGAACAAAGTGTATTTTGCATTGATATTTAAATTAAAAGTCGAGCACAGGTCTGCTAGAAATCGATTTTTTTATGTTATGAGTAGAATCATAATATCAATGGAATATGTGAATAGTGTATGAGCACAGGCTCGCCCTCTTCAAATTACATAGTCCAAATTGAACAAGCTTTGTCCGTGTTGTCATCTTCCTTCCTTATTCAAAAGAGTTTATGACGTTACAGAAACAAACATTGTCAATGATCTACTCCCTAACTATATTATGTTTTCTGAATTAAGATTTTTCATACAATATATGCAAATGTGTACATTTCTAGATATTTTCAAAATTTGGCTATTATGTGGACAAAAATACGCTTTAACCAAATATAATCCTTCATAATAGATAATTTTAAATTTAAAAATGACAATTTTCTTTCATTTCTATTCTATGCGTCTTGATCGAAAAGGGACATGAAAACAGAATCCTTTGCGTAGTGTCTCTTACCAGATTTGGGGTAGGATACAACACAAATATCGCTGTCTTGAAATGTCATTTCATTAAGTTGCTTAAGAGTATCGCCCACATCCCCGAAGATATTTGCAGGAAATAAGTGCCCATCATATTCGGTTACCCGCATTACCACGTTGCCACTGGGGTCCTTGATTTCGCGTTGACTCATCCTGAAACTATATATATAAAAATATATAAAATTGTGATTATTATAACTTCACAATCATATCATGCTTAATGCTGCGTACATAACGTCACGAGAATGACTTCATGAAATATATGGAGATAACGAACAGTATTCAAGCTCAAAAGTTCATTAATCAATACAAAATAGGAGCAGAGCAAACACGGACCTCCAAACATCAGAGGTGGGATCAATTGCCATGGAGGAGTGAGCATCCCCTGCCGACCGGTCACACCCGCCGTGTGCTCCTTGTCATGATCGGGAAATAACGGAAAAATCCGTCGACAATTCAGTGTGTAAATAATGGCCTAACAATTAGTGTGAAAAACGTCAGTCAGCATTTGACTCAATGATGAATTGTATTTGCTGACAAGGTCATTGTATCGACCATAGAACTTACGAAATGATGACTTTAAACGAGACAGCTGATATTCTTGTTTCATCAACTTATTTGTCAGTAACTTACCTCGTTATAGAAATTGTACATACGTATAATATAACTTGTTTATTATTTCAAATCTACTGAAGAGCCTGCATGGGGCAAAAGCGCTATAGATTAAAGTATGACTTTTTTCATTTAAAGCTGGATTTTATCTTACCTCCATACCAAGGGAATATATTTTATTGGATATATAAATAGTGCACGTTTTTGAGGGTAACAGTTGAAATTGACAACCCAAGGAAAACCATTGTCAACCTCCGCTGACGCGTCGGTTGACAATGGTTTTCCTTGGGGTGTCAATGTCAACTGTTACCTTCAAAAACGTGCATTATTTATTTTATTATACTGAATGTCCTATTAATTTTGGATATCATAAAAAAAAATCGGAGATCGTCGTTAAGTTCACGCTTAGAAAGCTTTCAAACTCCCCGCTTCTATTTTTCTCAATAAGAAAGCTTCGGAAAAGATTTACCAACCTCGTTATTGTTTGTTTGCTACTCAAAAAGTCCTTTATCATCTAAAGTTTGCACTCGCAAGGATGTTTCGTCTGTCGTTTGTTGTTTTCAAGTGAGCTACATCGGACGCAAGCTTTTATTGACGTCGTTTATTCGGCTTCTTTCAAACGCACAACCGACGTTTTGAGAATTCTAGAATTCTACGGTGAACCGTACGCGCATGATTTGAACGCATGTGTTACCCGTTGTCAATTGTGTTGCTGACGCTGAGGGTAACATTACGGATTGTTAAATGCGTATAAACCAATCAGATTTTAGTATTTAACATGAAAGTATTTTATATATATATATATATATATATATATATATATATATATATATATATATATATATATATATATATATATATATATATATATATATATATATATATATATATATATAAAATTCTACATTTGATATTTTTTAATGTTTAAAATTAATAGTTGATTTAAGTGTATACAACCGAAATATAATTTTAACAAATAATATCTATACAAGCTCAAACTAACGAACCACCCGTCTAACCAGCGGCAAGATTGTCGTTTACTCCTCAGATTTAAATACATGTATAACTAATTAATTACAATTACCTGCTTAATAAGAGATGCATGTAAAATATAATCTTTGATACAATGTTTTCAAAACATAAACAAACACTTCCATAGACAATTTTCCTATGTCATTAATTCTCCGATAATGATTAGGAATATATTCAACCTGAGATAATCAAGTGCATGATGCATTATTCTGAAATTGAGCCCTTTACAATATTACAGGCTGCTTCTTTCAAAGATGTAATTCAATGATCAATAAAATTTATTTTCATAACTACACTCTTCACGTCTCTTAGACATTCAAGAAGGATTTCATTTTGTTGTCCTCCATTCTAGATCCGATCATATTAAACTATTGAAAGTACCTTTTTATATTAAACATTAATAATTCTTGTTTATTTCTTTTATACCTTACTCAAAATGAAATAACCCCGTTAATTTAGAAGATACAGAAGATAAAAAAAAAAGTAGTGAAAGATATCAGGGGATCGCTAGTAAATAAAACGGGGATAATTCCAGCACTGTTCTAATTACAATTTATTACCTTTTTGTGAAATCTGGAAAACACCGAGTATTCGAATCTTAAATTCATATTCGAAGATTAACTCATCAAATGAATATTCGAATGTTCAATTATTCGTTGACATCACTAATATATATATATATATATATATATATATATATATATATATATATATATATATATATATATATATATATATATATATATATATATATATATATAAGAAAGAATTTTTCTAATCTTGCCACCACTGGTTCAAAAGAAATTGGCCGGAATAGGCTACATTCCAGAAAGACAGCATTTAAAAAAAAAGTGAAGGTACTGCGAAAAACCTGGAGTTTACATCGTACTGGGCAAGATTTTGGAATGCATAACATCCGGATTAGACAAGTTTCACTTTATATGTATAGTCTTTTGCGGAGCAGGACGAATGCGCATCCTTTATTACCACAGGCTATATAAATAATAAATTTTCTTTTATTTAAGATGCATTCATTGCAGTTTATTTTATCCAGCTGTTTCAAGTTTGTTTTTAGGAAGTTAAAAATATGCTTTAAAAAACTTTTTCTTTCTTTAATTTGAATTTAAAAATTAGGTTTAAAAGTACTGCTGGCTTTGTTACGTTCTTCATTCGATTTCGTAAATATTTTTATTCGCTTTGAGAAGATTAAGTATTTGTGCTTAATGGATGTTCACTTTTAATTTAGCAAGCTTGAAATTATCATCCTTGAAAATAAAGGACAGTGATCGATCTAAAAAAAATTACCGGTACGAAAAAAATCGTTCCTTAAAATAAGCATCCATATGGATAAAATCCAATACTTGGAGATATTTATCCATTAAGCAACGTTCAGATATGATATTCGAAACTCAGCTTTCTAAAAGAGTTCAATGAATTCTACAACATAAGCAGCATTTATTGAGACAAGAACAAATTCAAAAGATTTCTTACCTTTCCTGAGTTCCCCTTGCAATTGTAGCCCTTGAGTTAAATGATGTTTTTAATATGAAAAAGTTTTGTTTATATACACTTTTCACCGTTACACTTAGTCAACCCTTGCATATATTTAAGGTGCAATTTCCCCCGGTAATGAAGTCAAATTATTTCATAAGCTGTCAAAACCATACTCTATATGTAAAATTAGTCTTTATGACGCGTCTGTAATGTTTTAGCAAAAGGATCAATATAGCTAAAAGTTTAGTTTTTTCCTCTTGTATTTCATATTCCTTTTTGTCATTTGAAATTCGTGAAATTATTAATATTCGTACATTACAAAAACGTGTTTTATTTTTGTTCAAAGATCCAAATTCTCTGCATTTATTACAACAATAAAATTTTCTAAAAAGAAATATTCTGTATCTTGATCCTTTTGTTGAAAATATTCATCGAGCTATTCAATTATTGAAGTGTCACGGTCTAGTTTATCACCCCTCAGTTCGTGTGTTCTAATTCATGTTTTAGTTGAAGGAAATGTAAGGGCAATGACCTATTTAACATTTTATGTCCTCACAAAAAAAATTCGAACGGTCTGTTTACTCAACTCAGTCATAGTTTTAAATGCAAACATATTTCTTTCTTTTTTTCTTTTTTTTTTCTTTCTTTTTTTTTTTTTTTTTTTTTTTTTTTTTTTGTTTTGTGTTGATAACATCAACATGGATATTCTTCAATATTAATACGACTAACATTGTCTTCCTGTTCAAAAGAAGCTATATTTCTTCTTATTCTGTATGCAAAATTTCCCTAACAAAAATTTACTATAGTTAACTATAGTTTACTATAGTTAACTATAGTGAAAACTTTGATACTTTGATTTACTATGAAACTTTACTCTAAAACTTTTTTTGAAATTTCAAAGCCTAATATCTCTAAAATTCGATAAAAGTAATGTAAAATTTGGAAATAATGTGTGAATAAACATATAATATTTCAATTTAATATAAAAAATGGGTAGGTATGAATTCAAGAACAAAAAAATATAGCAATCTGAAATCCATACTAAAAAAAACTTTGATTTACTATAGTGAAAAAACTTTGATACTATAGTAAACTATAGTTAACTATAGTACTTTTTTGTTAGGGTTATGTAGTATTTGAAAAAAAAAGTTTAAAATAAAATGAATCAAAGAAACGCGTGGGAAGGTTTTCATGCTGAATTGATTTAATGCAGCTACTTTAATGTGTCGAAATGTATTAATAAATAGCATTTCTCAACAAATCACAAACTTACAAATTGCAATAAAAACTACAAAACTTCATTGCTTGAAGTAAAAATATATTGTTGTCTCTTTCATGAAAATTATTTGTAGGTGTTAATAGATTCCATATATAGATATTAAAACAAAAAAAAATTAAATTCGTCGAGACAAAATCTTTACTTATCAACACCTTGAGAGAGAGAGAGAGAGGGATGGGGTGAGAGTGTGTGTGTCAGGGTGTGGGTGTATGTGTTAGTGTAGGTAAAATCGCACACCTCCTCGTAGCCAAGATTGAGTTTTCTAGAAAAAAAATCAATTTTTTAAGTTTAGTTTTTTACAATGTGTATGTTTTAAAGCGCTCCTATGACAAAAAAAGGGTTTTAAAAAATACACAATTACGTATATTCGAGTCTGAAATATGAAGATAACGAACAGTATTTAATCTTGAAAGTCCAATGAAACACGATACAAATTTGAAGCAGAGCAAACACGGACCTCAAAATTTAGAGGTGGAATCAGGTGCCATGGAGGAGAGAGCTTCCCCTGCCGACAGGTCACACCTGGCGTGTGCTCCTTGTCATGATCGGAAAACCCCCCAGAAAATCCGTAGACAGTTCAGTGTATAATTAATGGCCTAACAATTAGTATGAAAAACGTCAGTCAGCATTTGACTCAATGATAGGTTGTTTTTGCTGACAAGGTCATTGTATCGACTGTAAAACTTGCAAAAAGATGACTTCAAACGAGACTGTTGATATCCTTGTTATTATCAA